GGGGCCCCCCCTGCCGCTAGCACACGTGGGTCGCTATGAGCTACAGTACCCTGGTACCTGGTGTTTCATTAGCCTTGGGCCTCGTGGAGGTTGGCGCCAGGCATTACTTGCCGGTCTTTTCGCTGGCCTTGGCCTGGCCGCGCTCCTTGCGGCACTCGTGTGCAATACACTCAGCGGCCTGGCCCTCCTGCGAGCCCGCTGGAGGCGTCGCCGCTCTCGACGTCTCCGGGAGACCACAGGTCCCGATGATCGCCGGCGCTGGGGGTCCCGTGGACCCCACTTGGCCTCTACTTCGTCTGCCTCATCCATCGCTTCAGCCTCCGCCACCCTCCGCAGCTCCCGGGGCGGCGGCTCGGCGCGCAGGGTTCGTGCGCACGACGTGGAGATGGTGGGCCAGCTCGTGGGCATCATGGTGGTGTCGTGCATCTGTTGGAGCCCCCTGCTGGTGAGGAGCGCAACCGCTCCTCAAGCCACACTCCTTCCTGCCCCCTCCTGGGCTCCGCCCCCTAAAGACCGTGCCTTCACAAAAAGCCAAGCCTGTCTCATCCCTCTGCTATCCCCGGCTCTACCTTCGTCCTCTTTGGATCTCTGTAACTTACTCCCATCCACTCAAGCCTCTCCGGTTCGTCCCTGCGCTCCATCCATTCCTAGCCTCCTTCCTCCTCAGCCTTTTGACCTTTCTTCTTGCCTGTGTGCTGGCATGATGGCTCTTCTCTAGCCAGACTCTGCAGTCACTGACGACCTTTGCTTAGTCACTCTCCTTCCCACAGTATTTGCCCTGCAGGGCCCTCCCCGGCATCCTAACCTTCCACCCCGCCCCTTCTCTCACACCCGTCCCACTGCTTTTCTCGCAGGTGCTGGTGGTATTGGCCGTCGGGGGCTGGAATTCTAGCTCCCTGCAGCGGCCGCTCTTTCTGGCTGTGCGCCTCGCGTCGTGGAACCAGATCCTGGACCCATGGGTGTACATCCTGCTTCGCCAGGCCGTGCTGCGCCAACTGCTTCGCCTCTTGCCCCTGAGGGCCGGTGCTAAAGGTGGCCCAACGGAGCTGGACCTAACCAAGAGTGCCTGGGAGGCCAGTTCACTGCGTAGCTCCCGGCACAGCGGCTTCAGCCACCTCTGAACGTGCCCAGCCAAAGCCACTGAGCAGGGCTCAAGGGTGTAGAAAACCTCAAATACAGCATGCCATGGGCGATGTGTCCTGCGGGGCGACAGCACACACTGTGACCACATATTGGTGAAAAAAGGCTCCACCCAGACGAGTACAATTCTAACATTGGGCACACGATGGCGTAGACACGGGATGTTCCAAATATCAGAGGTGGGATCCCCGGGTCATCAGCTCCAAGAGCATGTGCACAACCCTGAGTCCTTAGTTCTGAGATTGGAGCTCCCCTTAAATGCAGCGAGGTTTTGGATTCACTTCCTGTCTCTGCCGCCGCCACAACAGGCTCTTGGAACCATTCTGCTCACTTTTGGTCCCTAACTATACTAACAGTCTCAATACCCTATACCCACTACAGCCCTGAGTCCTATCCTGGCTCCTCACTAATGCATGTTCCCAGCTTGACCTTTCAATTGAGCCCCATCACAGTCCTGTCCCCCAGAGTCTGCCTGCTTGTCACCTGTTTCAAGGACGCTTGCCCCAGATTGCACACAGAGGCTGAAAATACATGTATGGGGCAAACCCCAAAGGGCTTTTTAAAAACCAAGAACTCTTGGGCAAGGCAGGGGCTTGGGGCTGGTGGCCCCCCGCCACAAAGTCGAAATCCCGGAAGGCCGCCTGCTCCGCAGCTGTGAGGGGCCGCGCATCCCGTGGAGGGCTCAGCGTGGGCAACTCTCCAGTGAACTCCTCATCGAAGTTGCTGACGTCTGTGCGCCCCGAAAGCGTAGGCACGAAGGGTGGGGGCAGGCGACGAGCCAGCAGGACGTCCCAGCCCAGAGTCTGTGGAGAGGGGGACAGAGAGTCATGACGGAGGCTGTGGGGAAGTCTGGAGAGCAGAAGGAAGTAAACTAGGTGCAGAGGGACTGGAGCTCAGATTAATCAAGGGAGTCTGGTGTAGCTCAGAACAGCCCTTAAATGACATGGGCCTGAAGAAACAGAGGGCGAGGATTGGGAGTAATGATGGGCAAACAAAAGGAGGTAACATTTGAGAGGAATCATGGCAGCTGGGGGGGAGGGCAAAACTCGAGACAGAGCAACTAGATTTGGGGTGGGAATGAACTGGGAGAAACACCCAGGTCCTTGGGATGACTGACAAGATGGGGAGGGGGTCTACTCACCCGAAAAAAAGGCTGTTTTTTCACGTCTTCCGCGTCGCGTTCAGTGGATCCCAACCTCCGCTCTGGGTTCCTCCGCAGCAGCTGTAAGACGACACACGTCAATGCATATATGATTCTGGTCCCTGAAGGACCAGATAGTGGGGGTGTGCTTACCCTTCTCATGATGCCAATGGCCTCTGCCGACAGAAAGCGGGGATAGCGAACCTCATCGTTGACAATGCTGTCAAACACCTCCTCCTCATCGTCCCCAGGGAACGGAGACTGGGGGGAGGGGGCAGAAAGAGCCAGGGTGAGAAAGATGCCACTTTTAGCCAATCCAGCATACCCACCACTACTACCAAAGGGCCCTACCCTTGGGAGTTAACGCCTTTACACCAGAGCTGGCCTATAGAGGGCTAGTGTCCCATTTTAGTTACAGAAACTGAGATCGGAGAGGCAAAGCCAGCATGCAGTAGGGGCAGATTCCCATCCCACTTCTCTACAGAAGAAAAGGCAGCCTAGGTCTCACCTCGCCAACCAGCATCTCATAGAGCAGCACGCCTAGTCCCCACCAGTCCACTGCTCGCGTGTAGGATGTATCTGTCAGCACTTCCGGCGCCAGGAACTCTGGAGTCCCGCAGAATGTGCTGGTCCGGTCTCCATAGCCCATCCCTGGGTACGGTGGAGAATGCATGACCATGTAAGCCAATAGTGGCTAGGGGAAGTAGAACATGAGACAGTCCAAATAGCCAGCCCTACCCCAAATCAGTTTGGGGGTGACCCTGGGGGGTGGGCTAAAGCTGTTAAACTACCCTGAAGTTGTTATGATGAGCAGGTGCCTGCAAGCAAAGCCCATAGAGAAGAAAATGTCACCTGACCACCTGCGTACAGCCTCACCAGAAGGTAGCCCACCCTCTATTCCTCTCATCCCAGCATTGCAGCCCCTCACCCTCCTTGCAGAGGCCAAAGTCTGCGATCTTGACGTAGCCCTCAGTATCCAGGAGCAAATTGTCCAACTTCAGGTCCCTGGGGAATGGGGATGTCAGGGGATGTAAAGAGGGATGATTGGGAGTGGGGATTGGGGCTTTGTACAGAGCTTAAGCATGTCCAGTCTGGACAGAATGTATTCTCATGTACACACCTGTACACAATCTTGTGCTCATGGAGGAACTGCAGCCCCAGCACCACACAGGCCGAATAGAAGCTGCAGAGACGCACAAGATCACACAAGCCTGGCTCCACAGGCGCCAAGTCCCTAACCCATGGGGTCCCAAAGCTGTGCAGGAGTCAGGCATCAGGGTGGAGAAGTGGGAGTAGGGTGGAGGGGTAGGGGGTAAGTGAAGGGGTGGGGATAGGGTAGAGGGATGGGGAGTAGGGTGGAGAGGTGGAGGGTAAGGTGGAGGGGTGGGGTGGGGCCTCCGATGATGAGCAGGAAAGGCATGGTGATGGAGTGAGGACTCACACAGCCCGAGGCTCTGAGAACACATCACTGTGGATGTGCAGCATCAGGTCTCCGCCTGCTGAGTACTCCATCACAAAGCACACGTGCTCTGGGGTCTGGAAACAGCCGAAAAGGTTCACCAGGAAGGGATGTCCTGCCCTGGTCACGGCCGCCAAAATCCGCTTCTCACACATCAGGCTGGGCAGGAGGCAGAAGTCAGAGGGCCCAGCTGCTCCCTGACCTATGCCCATGCCCTCCAGGGCTCACTCAACCGATATCTGTTGAGCCTGCACTACTGTGCAACTTTGGGCAACTGGATTACTCTCTCTCAGTTTGGGCAGCCTTGGTTGCTGCACATCCAGAATCTATGCATTGTCTTGGGGAGCAGGTGAGGGCACAGGTGAGGGCTGATCAGATCAGTCCAAGTCCATGTTAGGGACCAGCACCTAGTGTGAGGAACAGGATCTGATCTTCGGTGTGGAAAGGCTTCTCTGTTTCCGAGAGAGGACTGTAAGCACAGCCCACATGGAGCACATAACCAGAAACATCACCAAGCCCTGGGCAGAGCTTTAAGGTGGACATGACTGGGCTTCTCTCCAGATCAGTAAATAAATTCCTCCTACTTATTTAAACTTTGAATCAGATTCCTGGTTATTTCAAAGGTGGCTGGGAAGTCTAGGGACAGCCTGATGCCTCTAAAGGGATCAAGAACCACGAAGAATGATGCTTTAAATAGACCTTCTTCCTTGACCCACCAGACAGTCATATGACAACAGCATTTCCATGGGCATTTGATGGACAGATTGGGAAGCTAAGTTCTGAAGGAAGGCCACTTTTCCCCAGCACCCAAAAGCACAGCGGACAGAGGCATGATTTTAACCTGGGACTCTGACCCCAAAAGAAGGCAGTCCCATGTCCCTACATTTGAGTCCTGAACCTCCTGCCTACTGTGTGACCTCTGGCAGGCAGTTAAACCCTGAGTAGAATGGGAGACAACAGCATTATTCACTCTGGAAGGGAGAAGGGGCACAAATGAGTCACAAGAACTACTTCCTAAGCCACTCCTCCTAGGTAGGAGGGTCCTAAGCTCTGGTAACACCAGTCTCTCACTGAAGTATTCAATAGCACCCTCCTCTTGGTCTGTTTCCCCAAAATCCTCAAGAGCCAGGACAGGGCCTCACCTCTCCACCTCATCTCGGGCTACAATGTCACCTTTCTTCAAGGCTTTGATGGCAAAGAGCTCTCCACTGGAGCGGAATTCAGACAGCAGCACCTGGCACAAAGTGGGCACAGGGGCCTTAGTGGACAGCCTGGGCTCTTGAAGGAAAAACTCCAAGCCCCTAAGTCCTTCCCCTGCCTCACCTTCCCAAAATGACCTCGGCCCAGCACTGCCAGGAACTTGAAGTCCTCAAGACTCAGGGACGACTTCCCCAGGGGGCTGTGGAGAAAGGGAGCTGATGAACTCAGAGGGTAGGCAGGAGTGGGGGTGGGGGTGGGGAGACTAGGGAGGGTTGTCACCTGCACAGGCCAGGGCCTGGAGTCTCCTGGGTCTCTGAAGGCAGCTCTGGAGAAGTGGTGGATTCATGAGTTGGAGAACTCTGTGATGCAGAAGTCACAAAAGCCACAAGTCAAGAGCTATCCCCAAGAGCCAACAGGGCCCTAAGCTACTCCCTCCCCTCCCTGTGCCTGGTCCACACCCACCTCCCCAGGAACCTTTCCTTCTTAGATTACTTTGCCTTCACATTTACACATTTTTTGTTTGTTTTTTGTAGGACTAGGAATGAACCTAGGCCATTACACATGCTACCCCCAACACTTTTCTTTTCTTTGAGCAGGCTCTCACCAAATTGCCCAAGCTATCCTTGGACTTGTGATCCTTCTGCTTCAGCCTGCCAGGTAATTTGGAGCCCAGGCTTGTATCACCAAGCCCAGGTCTCCCTCCTTTTGTAACCCTTTGCTTAGACTACCCGTGCAGGTATTGGCTGACTCTTTATTGAAGAACCCTGTCCATCTCTGCTCCATTTTTCTCCCAGTATACTTCATATTCAAATGTCTTTTATCTGCTTGTTTTATTTACTGGTTTCAGCCTGGATAGACTGATGGATTGACTGATTTATACTGTTGGGCATGGGAGGCAGGACCTCACACCTGCTAGGTGGATGCTATTACAGAGCTTCATCCCAGCCTAGCCATGCCTCATGAGCACATGACTGAAAAGACTCAGGCCTAGGACAGCCTTAAGATGGCTGAGATGAGGATAGGTGCTTATTATACCAAGCCTGGTGATCTGAGGCAGATCCCAGGACTCACATAGTGGAAGGACAGAATCAACTCCTCCTGTAAGTTATCCTGTGACATTCAAATATGTGCAGCAGCCTCCCAAAAACAATAGCACACAAACACATGCATTGAGAGAGAGAGAGTCAGACAGAGAATCAGGACCTGAGGGTGCAGCTTATGGTACAACACTGGCCTAGCCATGTGAAACCCCAAGGTTCCATCTTCCATCCCCTTTTCCTAATGGAAAAAGATGACAAGTAGGTAGCACAGTCAGGTATGGTGGTTCACAATCTCAGCACTCAGGAGGCTGAAGCAGCATTATACAAAAAGAAAAGAAAACTGGGCCAATAGCATGGCTTGGCAGGTAAGGCATCTGTTGCCAAGCCTGAAAACCTAAGTTTGAGCCCTGGCGCCCTGGGAGAGAACGGACTGAGCCCTCTGACAGGTGTTCCTCTGACTTCCATATGAGTGCCCACGTGCTCATACAAAATAAGTAGAAGGATAAAGTTTTTAAAAGAAGCCAGGTGTGGTAGCACACACCTTTAATCTCAGCACTCAGGAGAGAGAAGGCAATCTCTGCAAGTTCAAGACCAGTCTGGTCTACATAGAGAGTTCCAAGATAGCCAGGGCTATACAAAGAAACCCTGTCTTGAAAAATCAAAAAAAAAAAAAAAGTAAATAAATAGATAAATGTTGAATACCAATGGGCCAGCTATGCATACATAGCCTACAGAGCTAGAAATAGTTGGAAAGAGAGTGGGGGTTTGAAAGAAAATGGCCCCCAAAGGGACTGGCAATATCAGGAGGCATGACCTTGTTGAAGTATGTGTGGCCTTGTTGGAAGAAGTGTGTCACCGTCGGGGCAGGCTTTGCTTAAGCCTTACTCAGTGTGACATTCAGACCACTTCCTGTTGCCTGAAAGATGTAGGACTCTCAGCTACTTTTCCAGCACCATGTCTGCCTGCATGCCACCATGTCCCACCATGATGGTAGACTGAACCTCTAAACTGTAAGCAAGTCACCCCAATTAAATGTTTCCTTTATAAGAGTTGCTGTGGTAATGGTGTCTCTTCACAGCAATAAAACACTGACTAAGACAAGGGGTAAAAAGAAAACGAGTATTTAGTAACCCACACAAGGTCTATCTATGACATCCCCGCTATAGTGATCGACAAAGTCCTGGAGTAGGGCTGCACCCACCTGTGCAGCACCCAACAGGCTCACAGAACTGAGTCAAAGCCTTAATTATTTACAAAATAATTAAGGTATGACCACAGAACTAGAGGAAGTTCATGACAGCCACACCCCCACTTCTTTTGGAAACCGCCATCAAGAAAGCAACACAATTTGTCTTTGAAATATTTTTTTTTCTTTGTGTTCTGGAACAACAGCCCTCTAGCTGGACTTAAGACTCACTCAACAAGAGGGAAGACATGCCAGGTACTGGAAACCCAGCCAACTACCCAGGGCTAGTGCTAGGGGATATTATTTTGGGGTGTGTTACTTTTGTTTATGTTGCATTTGTTTAACTCTGGGAAGCTGTGATTCTTTGACTGTCTAAAACACCAGATGGTCTAATAAAGAGCTGAATAGCCAATAGCAAGGCAGGAGCAAGGATAGGTGGGGCTGGCAGACAGAGAGAATAAATAGAAGGAGAAATCTGGGAGAAAGAAGGATCTGGGGATAAGAAAGGAAGGAGGAGGATTTCAGCGGCCAGACAGACACCCAGACACCCAGACAGACACCCAGACAGACACCCAGACACCCAGACACCCAGACACCCAGACACCCAGACACAGGAAGAAGGAAAGAAAAGGTATATAGGAATAGAGAAAGACAGCCCCAGGCCAAAGATAGATGGGATAATTTAAGTTAAGAAAAGCTGGCAAGAAACAAGCCAAGATAAGGCCAGGCATTCATAACTAAGAATAAGCCTCCATGTGTGATATATTTGGGAGCTGGGTGATGGATCATTCAAAAAGCCAAAAGAGTAAAACATCACACAACAGAGTAATGACGTCATGGTCTTGGAGGAGAGCCTACAACACCACTTTACTAAATCAGCATCATCCCTATCTACACTCTAAACATGTGTCCTTACACCCACAGATAAGCATGGTCCTCATCCCTCATTCATCAAACTATAGATGGAGACCACTACAGAAAAACCACAATCAATCAAAACACAGAGTTGTGGAGCCCAGTCCCAGTGGATATATCTACAAAACCCTCCCACACCTAAGGCCCAGGCACTCTATGGAAGAGGAAGGGGGTGGAACAACTGTAAGGACCAGAGGATGCGGGCGTTTGCTGTGGGACTGTGTCAGAGGCTACACATGTAGTCTCGACAGCATGACTGCCCAGGTGAGACCTGAACAAGGACAGTAACAAGACACGCCAAAGTGGATGGGAAAAGCCCACGAGGCTTCACCCTACTCACAGAACCACAGGCAACGAAGACGTGCTTATTAGAGTAAGAGAAATAGCCCTTCCCAGGGAAAAGCACACTAACTGGTTATTCAATATTAAATGGTCATCCTTGAAAACATACAAATCTGTGACATTATACAGGTTGAGCAGGTTGTATTTAGGAATATATAAATGCTTGCACATACATATATGTATGCAACAGCGATTAATGAAAAAAAGAGGCCATGAATTTAAAAGAATGCAAGAAGGGGTCTAGCTGAGGATGACCTGCACTCCTGACTTCCCTGCCTCTGCTTTCCAGAGCAGTAATCACACACGGGTACCTTTTCTGCTCTCTTCTCACCAGCTCATGGTTTGTTTCTGTTTCTTTTCTTTTTTCTTCAGTCTGGGAATAGAACCCAGAGCTGCAAGCACACTATTCAAGAACTCTGCTAGAGAGAAAATCTCAAGCCCCGAAGCCAACATCCCCCCTGGCTTTGGTTTCTGAGACAGAGTCTGGATGTGTAGCCCAAGCTGGCCAAGAACTTACTACATAGTCTAGACTGGATTCAAACTTGTGGGGATCACCTTGCCTCACCACCCCTTGCTAGGATTGTATGATCACATCACTGTGCCCAGCTTCCCAGCTGACATTTTTAAGCTAGGATAGAAAACAACTGGAGTACTGGGATGTTGTACAATTGGCAGAGTATTTGCCTAGCATGCAGAAAGCCCTGGATTTCATCATTGGTACCCTATAAACCAGGCATGGTAATCCCAGCACTCCAGTGACAGAGGCAGGAGGATGAGGCGTTCAAGAGTTCAAAGCCTGAAACTAACAAACAAAAAGCCTGGTTCTTCTGTGTGATCCTTGGTTAGTTCCTGGAGGTTTCTGAAAAAGTTGCAGATTCCCTAGGCTGCTCTGCCTAGAGGAGGTGGACACTCACCAAGCTATACAATGTGGAGGGCAGCCCTGGTGGGCTCTTCTGGGACGAGCTGTCAGAGTCAGCACCAAGGTTCAGCTTCTCCATGGATATATCTCTGCAGGAGAGGGCAGAGGATGAGTTGGGGAGCTAGGACCCTGGAAACAGGAGGGACAGGTGAGACCGGGGCCATCCTCCTTCCTTACCCAGTGTGCCGGACCTCAGAGCCTGGAGATGCATTGGGACTGAAGGTGCCCGTGGTGACAGCATTAGGGATGAGTCTCCGGAGCAGCCGCACCCAAGTTGCCACATCAATGTTCATTTGTCTGGCACGCTGAAATGCCTTCCCTGGGATAGCAAGGTTAGGATCACTACCCATGACATCCTAAGGTTCCCTGGCTGTCCCACCCAGCTCTCTCAGGCCACTCCATACCTTGCTGTTTGGAGAAGATTTTTTTCTGCCTTTGGAGCCTAGGGATCCGCTCAATGATGGGATTTCGAAAGGTGACCTGTGGGGACATGCTTAGCTGCAGTGGTCTCAGGAACAGAGGCATTCACAACCTGAAGTATGGAGCACTAGGCCTCTGAGGGCAAGCGACTTGACTATGGCAGCCACTTGTAAAGGTGAGCCTTTGGCAGTGACTATGCACAGGGCGATGACCTTCCTCGTGGATTCATTACTAATGGGCTCAGAGCTCGATGGAAGAGGAAGAAAGTCATGACTACCAGACCTCCTTTCTCTTCCCTCTGTCTGTCAGCATGAGAGCAACTGTATTCCATGTTGTGCTTCCCCATAAGCCTAGAAGCAATGGGGTGAAACGGCTGTGACCTGAAACCATGAACCCAAAGGAACCTGCTTCCTTTGAGTTTATTTTCCTTGGGTATTTTGTTGAGCAACAGAGAGCTGATGAGTATGGAAGATCAACACACTCACTGTCTGCCTTCGGAAGTGCCTATCACTCTTCTCCTCACCGTGACAGAAACCTTTCTTCCTTAAATTGCTTTTGTTAGGGTATTTTACCACAGCCACAGGAAAAGAACTTAAGACAGAAAACATTCACATTCAAACCACAACAGACTTCCATCTTGGAAATGGAGGAAGCAGGCAATTAGACCCTCCTCTGGAGAGAAGGAAGGGGTCTGGACCAACAAGACTGATGTGTAAGTCCAGAAACCAGTGTCACATCACTTAATGACCTGACCCCCAGGGTGGCCACACTGGCATAATCTGGCACTGTTATTAAGCTTAACAATGTCCCAAAATGTTCATTTGTCTGGCACGCTGAAATGCCAAGGAGGCCTGTGTGTTGAAGATTTGGTCACAAACCTGTGGCTCTTTGTGGGAGATGGTGTAACCTCTAGAGGATGGAGTCACCCATGAGGGGAAACCATGATTTAGTTTAGTATTCCCAACTCCAACACGTAATAGGTACTGAATTCTAGATCCAAGCGTGTTCCTGTGCAGCTGCCATGTGTGGAAATCAAATTTTAAAAAACTCTGGTTTCCAGTTACACTAGCCACACTTCAGACAGAACATTCTATCCACAATGGAACTCAACATGGTGGGCTCAGTGAAGAGGGAGCTCCAGAAAGTTCCGTCAGGTGCACCCTTCACTTGCTCTTAGGTCAGCAGCAGCATCCGGCCTTCACTTGAGTTTGCTGTTGCTGCTGCCTTGTAGTGCTGGGGGCAGAAGCCAGAGGTTTGAGCATGCTAGCCTTGTCCTGCATGCTAGGCTCACCACAGAGTTTGGTTCTTTGAGACAGACCTCATGACATAGCCCAGGCTGGAGTGGCAGAAAATAGGGGTTTGGGGATTGTTTTTCTGTTTTTCAGACAGGGTCTCTCTGTGTAGACCTGGATAGCCTAGGACAAACTGTACAGACCAGGCTGGCCTCAAACTCAGATCGGCCTGCCTCTGTTTCCAGAGTGCTGGGACTGAAGATATGAAACACCACATCCAGCTGTTCTGTTTTTAAGGTAGGGTCTCTTTATCTTTTACTCCTTGGTCTTTCAAGACAGGGTTTCGCTGTGTAGCCCTAGCTGTCCTGCAACTTGTTCTATAGACCAGTGGCCCCAAACTCAGAGATCCACCTGCCTCTGCTTCCAGAGTGCTGGGATTAAAGGCGTGCACCATCACCTGGCTTTGAGGTTATATGACACCTGGTTTTATTGTTTGTTTGTTTGTTTGTTTGTTTATTTTATGGGTGTTTTGCCTGCATGTATGTTTGTCTTCTGCATGTGTACCTAGTGACCAAAGAGGCCAGAAGTAAGTGTCAGAAACCCTGGAACTAGAGTTACAGACAACAGTGAGTGGCCATGTAGGTGCTGGTAATCAAACCTGGGTCTTCTGGAAGAGCAGCCAGTGCTCTTAACTGCCGAGCCATCTCTCCAGTGCCCACATCTAGTCTTATCTGGAACTAGAAACGGGGTCCAGGGCTTTGTGCATGCTAGGCAAGCATTCCACCTATCGAGCCCCATCACCAGATCACCATGTAATCTGCTGAAGCACAATCTTCTGGGAACCCATCACATATGAGGTCCATTCCTGCTGAGCCTTTCTTATGTGAGATGTGCTGCTCCTGGCATTAGTCCCAGCTCTCAGGAACCTTACTTCCCATGAAGGCTCAGAATCATCTGAAATTAATCTCCCCATGCTGGACAATCAGAGACAAGGAGCAAGAAACATTAGGATCAAAGTTCAGGGGTCAGGCTGTACCTCAGCCACCAGGCAGCCCTGGGGCTCCATGTCCAGCTGCACCTCGTGCCTCTCATTGTCCAAGAAGTCCTCCAGCTTCAGAAACTTGAGCGCACACAGGCCCCTCTGGTCCCGCCAGAACACAGCCAACTCTAGCTCCCGTGCCTCAAAGGAGAAGAATTGGGGTCATTATCTCAGGTGTGTGAAGTCCAGTTCTTCTTCCTCTAATCCCACTGTCCCCAGCTCAGCTCACCCTCTCCAGCTCCAGGGTAAAGCTCTGGTCCCAGGCACTGGGGCCGCATGGCTTCCATGCTGTCTGTCCTACCACTGCATTGTCCAGCTTGAGCACGGTGCTGACCTCAGCTGAAACCAGAGGAGGGCAACAGGAAAGGGGGGAGGGGTGGTGCTTGCTCCACATCCTGTCAGTGTCTTTCTATAGACCTCCCCTCAGCATTCTGCTAGCTTGCCTTGCATAGTAAAGCCTTTAATTCAGAGTGTGGGTTTGAGAAGGGGTTGTTCATTTTTGGTGTGTTTTTCTTTCGGTTTAGAGATAGAATCTTACTGCAAAGACCAGGCTAACCTAGAACCCACTATGCAACCCAGACTGGCCTGGAATCCTCTCGCTTCAGCTTTCCAGGTGTTATGATTACAGGCATGCACCACCATGTCGGCCCTCATTTTTGTTTTATGTTTTATGTAGCCCAGGCTGGTCCTGAACTTCTGTTCTTCCTGCCTCTACCTCCTTTATTTTTATGTGCATGAGTGTTTTGCCTGCATATATGTATGTGCACTAGATGTGTGCCTGGTGCCTGGAGAGATCAGAAGAGGGTGTCAGATCTGCTAGAACTGGAGTTATGGAGGGCTGTGAGCAGCTATGTGGATGGTGGGACCTGAACCAACTACAAAAGTACAAGTGCTCTTAACTGATGAGCCATCTCTCTGGCCCCTAATTTTTGTTTTTTAATTATGTATACATGTTTATGTCTGAGTGGGAGTTTGTGCACATGAATGTAGTGACCAGTAAGGCCAGAAGAGGGCATCAGACCCCCTGGAACTGCAGTTATAGCAGTTAGGAGACAGCTGATGTAGGTTGGGGTCCTCTGCAAACTTAGTCCATCCTCTGACCAGAGCCCTCTCTCTAGTGCCCATTCACTGTTTAAATAGTATCTGTTTAAATAGTATAAAAGCCAGTGCACCTGTGGTCCCAGCTTACTCGGTGGGCTGAAGCAGGAACATCACTTGAGCCCAGAATTTGAGGGCAGCCTGGGCCACATAGTGAAACCCTGGCTTTCAATTAACAAGCAAAAAGACAAACACATCTGTAAGTAAAATACTACAAAAGCAAATACTACCCTCCCCACTGCCACTCACTTGTGTTCTCCATTTCCCCCTTGAGGCTGCTCCGTCCACTAAGGCTTCCACTTCGGCTATAAAGGCCCCGGGCTGGGCGGCTTAGGAAAGGGGTACGGCTGTCAGGGGTCCCAGGTGCCCCCACTGAGGGGGAAGGGTTCCAGGGGATGGTCTCTGGAAGATTCCTGCAGCCTACCACTCGTACTTCCAGGGTCCCTGCAGGAGGGGCAGGCTCATGGAAGGCAAGCTGAGGAGATAGAGAGAGCAGCAGGGGAAAGGACCTCTCCTCACGCAAGTGGCAACGGACAAAGGGCAGCAGCGGGGGGCTTTGACACGGTGTCAAAGGAGGCGAGGGGACTGACATTTTGAGAGAAAAAAATGTACAGGGCAGCCAAAAGGACTAAAGAAAAGAGTAGCACTGTGGGGGCTAAGGTTTAATGATCTGCCAGGAGCTGGTAACAGGGCAGAGGACAACAGTGCCAAGGAGGAGGGGTGGGGACAATGGTTTAGAATCTGAAGAGAGAGCAAGAGCAAGAAGGGGGGCTGCTTGCCTAACAGAGATGGCAGTGGGGACCAGGGTAAGAAGGGAAGGAGACAATGGGATGAGCAGCATTCAGGGCTGAGGAGTCAGGAGAGCCAGGTAAGCAGTCTCAGAGTTAGGCCCTGAGGGGTACAGTCACTCTGGAGCCCACCTGTGAGTGGTGCAGGCTTGCTCAAGGTGCTGTAGTGTGTGGCAGGGAAGGGCCCAGGCAGAATTGCACTGAAGGCTGCTGATGAGGCCACGGTGAGCTCCTCTCGAAGCAGCCGCCCCTTGGGATGATCTGCCGGCAGCTCCCCGAGGCGCCGCTCCAGTGCCTCACGCAGCAAGCCCAATTTTTGGTTAGATTCAGTCAATTTCTCCTGAGCCTGAGGCAGAAGGCAGAGAGCTGAGCATAGGCATAGGCCCTTCCCCAAGAATTCACCCACCTCCAGCAACTTCTTCAAGCCTAAACCTCAAACCTATTTGGTCCCAACAATGGGAGCCTTAAAAACTAGGCCTTGCCCCTTGCTGCAGCCAGGATCCACGGAGGCTCCATCCTCACCAAAGCCTTTTCCTTTCTGGATCCCTGCCTGCTTCTCACCTGTCCACCATGCTTCTCACGGTGTCCAATGCCTCACTTAAAGCACTCTTGCTGATGCCCAACCTCTCACAGGTTTCAATTTAGGCTCTGCCCCCTCCGGAGCCTCTACCCTGCTCCTAGCTTAAATTTGTCCTGATGTCTCTCCTCTTTCTTATTGAGACTCCATACTCAGTGGCAGCCTATCTGGGTGACAGCTCCATCCCTCACCATGACCTGTTTCTCCCTCTCTCTCGTATGTCACGGACCTCATCCTCCCCCCTCTCTTCAATGCCCCTTCCCTGGTAGAAGCCCTCAGTGTCACCTCGCTGACTGCCTTGCGGTCCGGGGCCTTGGAAGCGCTGAGCAGGCGCAGGACGTTCTTGGCGCCTTCTGCCACTGCATGCTCCACTCTGAAATGGTGTCTCAGCTCCTCAATGCGAAGCTCTACCACTCCCAGGTCTGGACCTCCTATGGGCATGGGCCACATGACAGTGAGACAACCTTCAAACTAGCCTGATCCCAGACACACCACCATGTGCAAGCACAGGCACCCCCCCCACACACACACACACAGCCATGAAAGTGCATCATGGTTTTTTAACTGGAAGGGACTGTCACACTTTTACCCAAACTCAGTCTCTCTTGCTCAAACACCATAATCCCTAGAGACTCGGTTACCCAAGTACATTCATCCATATGACACACAGGCACACTGTCAATCTAGACTTAGGGACAGACATATTGTAACAGTCCCTTGTCATTCCCAGGGAACAACACAGGACAAAGGGAGCACTATAATCTACAAGGGCAGGTATTATCTACACCAGTGGCCATCACCCATACATTACATTTTCACCAAGGGACTGTCATCAAGACGTAACTCAGACATCCCTAAGATGCAGACACTCTTCATGTCCTAGTGAACTGCCACCAACAGGGACACAGTAAAGAACTGAACATGTGTGCCCTGCACCAGTTTACATGTGGAGCTCAACTCTAATACAGATGGTATTTGAAGATGGGGCCTCTAGGCTAGATGAGGTCACAAGGGAAGGAAGACACACAGAGCTAGCAAGGTAACTCACTGGCAGATCATCTGCCTGGAGCATAGGAGCCCCGGATTCCACTATGTTAAAGTTACATAGTGAGTTCCAGGCCAGCCTGCATTACATGAAACCCTACTAGAGAGAGAGAAAGATAGAGGAAGGAGAGCGGAGGGGAGGGAGAGAAGGGGGGGGGGGGGGGGGGGAGGGGGGAAGGGAGGGAGGGAGAGAACGAGTGAGTGAGATAAGGAGCCTTCTCCAAGACTGGTAACCTCAATTTGATTGCCAAAACATGTAGGGGGCAGTGTAAGCCACGCCTGCTAGAAGCTGGCTATAGGTGTGCCTGACCACGCCTGTCAGGGTGTGGTCAAGGTGAGGTCAGGATGATGCCTGATAGGGTTTTAAGGGGCAGCAAGGCACATGGGAGCCCCTTCTCTGGCCTCCCTGCCTTGCTGTCTCCAGCATGCTCTGGCTTGCGTCTGGCTAGCATTTTTCTAATAAAGGATATCTTTATCTCAAGCTCCTTTCATTCCTTAATAAGAACCCCCATTGTGGAAAGAGAAAACTGACCCCCAAAAGTTGTCCTCTGACCTCATCCACTTGTGCCAACACATACACAAAAGTAAATAAATAGAAAAAAATGTTGGTTATAGTAGCATAGGCCTATGATCACAGCACTTGGGAGACTGAGGCAGGAGAATTAACAAAAGTTCAAGATCAGCCTGGACTACAGAGTGAGACTATATCCTAAAACTTCAAGAATAGTGACTTGGGAGGTAGCTCAGTGGTTAAGGGCACTTTGCAGAGGACCCAACTTCAGTTCCCAGTACCCATGTTGGGCAGTTTACAACAGACTGTAACCAGAGCTCCAAGTGGGATCTGGTGCCCTCTTCTGCCTTCTCTGGGCACCCACATACATGGGCACACACATAATTTTTTAACTTAAAAATAAATTTTAGGGAAAAATCAAGAATAGCTAAATGTAAAAGATCAGAGACAGCAGAGAGTTTGCCTGTGTGCACCTGCTTTCTTTCCCTCCAGAGCCTCCCACCCCAGCTCCCTCTTCTTCCACCATCTTAGGTCACAACAGAAAGGTGGTCATCTCCAAGCCTTCCTCAGAGAGCCTAGCCATGCGGATACCCACACCTGTCCTTGCAACTCTGAAGAAACTACCTTATGTTTGTGGGGCCTCATTTGAAGCTCCTGCCTTAGGTGGCTCAAATCTCCCAAGACAGACACTGTGAGCAGGCTTGGCCACACTGCCATCTTCAACATCTCGAAGGCACTGCCATTTTGGTATCAGTTTTAAGTACACTGAACCTACAGGCAAATAAACACACACTCAAACCATAAAGACACAGTCCTATTGTCACACAAGGGCACTGTCAGAGGTCAGCTTGTCAGACAGACATAGCTCATCATTCAAACATGGACACAGTGACTCTGTTAAAAAGCTAACATCCTGAGTCTGGAGAGACAGTTCAGTGGGTAAAGTACATGTTATGCATGCATGAGGACCTGAGTTCCAATCTCCAGAATCCACGTAAGAGGTCAGATAAAGCAGTGTGTCTATAACCTAGCTGGACCAAAGAATCCAGGAGACCAACTAGTCAGCCAGTCTAGGTAAATCCGTGAGCTCCAGGTTCACTCAGAGGCACTGAATCAAAGAAGAAAGCAGTGCTGGGTGTGGTGCACACTTTTAATCCCAGCACGCAGGGAGCAAAGGCAGGTGGATCTCTGTGAGTTTGAAGCCAGCCTAGTCTACAAAGCAGTCAGAAATCCTGCAGCAAATTAATTAAGGTAGAGATTGATACAGGAAGGCAATTGATGCTGACCTCTGGTCTTTATAGCTATATGTACACATGCATACACAGGCTTACTCCACACACAGAGAAACACACAGACAGACAGAGACATCGTTCTGCCCAAGCACAGGATCAAACCCATTGGGTTAGTAATGCATGTCTGTAATCCAAGCACTAGGAAGCAGAGCAGACCTCTGTGAGTTCAAGGTCAGCTTGGTTTACACAGTGAATTCCAGGACAGCCAGAACTATACTGTGAGATCCTTTTTGGTGGGGGAGGAGGGAGAGGGGGGGAGGGAGGGAGGGAGGAAGGGAGGAGGAAGAAGAGGAGGAGGAGGAGGAGGAGGAAGAGGAGGAGAAGAAGTAGTGCTGTGATACCAGCCCTCAGGAGGTTGAGAAGGACCACAAGTTCTAGGCCAGCCTGGGCTACCTAGCAAGTATGAGGCTAGCTTGTACTACAGAGTGAAAGACTGTCCCAAAAAGAGATAGTGGTATTGGAGGGATGGCTCAATGGTGCACAGCACTTTCTGTTTCTCCAGAAGTCCTGGGTTCAGTTCCCAGGACCTACATAGTAGCTCACATTCATTTATAACTCTAGTTCTAGGGGATCTGATGCCCTCTTCTGGCTCTACAGGAACCAGGCACACGTGTGGTGCACAGACATGCAAGTAAAGCATGACACACATAAAATAAAAACAATAGGGGAAGGGAAGAAAGGAGAAAAAGAAGAGAAAGGAGGGAGAAGGAGGAAAAGGAAGAAGAGGAGGAAAAGGAAGAAGAGGAGGAAGAAGAACAAGAAGAGCAGGAAAAGTTGTCAGACTCAAGCCTTGGGAGAATCCTAGACACTAACCCACTACCACATGGACAGAACAGAGGAAATGCCGTCACATGATACATAGGGAAGCAACACTAGAACCCACAGGTGCAGACCCAATGTCATTGGTAAAAAAACAAAAGTGGGTGTCATATCCAGGACAAAGGCACAAGGACAATCACAGCCCAACACAAAGCATAGTGCCTGGTGGCATGGGGATGACAAATGGTCACACAGGTGTAGGGGATTTGTTACTCACAGACACAAGACCTGCCACATCCATTCATGGCCCTCTGAGGACAGAACCACTGTCTGTGTGTGTAAGGATCCTGACTCAGTCACCTGTTGTTGGACTTTCTTTGGACCATCAGCCCCAAATAATGACATGGAGACTTATTATTAATTATGAAAGCTTAGCCTTTAGCTAAGACTTGCTCCCAACTAGCTTTTTTTTTTTTTTTTTTTTGAGACAGGGTTTCTCTGTGTAGCTTTGGAGCCTATCCTGGCACTCGTTCTGTAGACCAGACTGGCGTCGAACTCACAGAGATCCACCTGCCTCTGCCTCCCGAGTGCTGGGATTAAAGGTGTGCACCACCAACACCCAGCCCAACTAGCTTTTATAACTTAAATTAACCTGTTTCTATTAATCTACATTCTGTGGCTAGTTACCTATCCTCCATAACGTATGTCCAATTTCCTCAATGTCTCACTGGTGTCTCCTGCCTCTTTTCTTCCCAGAGTTCCTATCTCTGCTCTCAAGTCCAGCCTATCCTCTCCTGCCTAGCTATTGGCTCTTCAGCTCTTTATTAAAGAATAAGGTGCCTTAGGCAGGTGAGGCAAAACATAGACACATCTTCACACAGTGTAATCAAATACTTTGAAACAATCACCCTATGCCTTTAGTTGTATATAGCAACTGGCCCGGGCACAGCTACAGGGCTACAGACACATGTCACTTACACACTGTGACACTCTGGCTATTCCATTCTGACACAAAATGTAAACATACAACTCATCACAGTGATGCAGACATACACTACCATTCAGAGCTCCATCAACAGTTGGTGTTCCTTTGCCTGGCGCAGTGACACACAGTATTCATAGTGACCAGGACAAATGCCTTGGCCATCTGTCATGGCTGTTTATCTTTTGTTTTGTCTCACTATGTAGCTCTGGCTGGCCTGAAACTCACAAAGATCTGCCTGTTTCTGCCTCCTGCATACTGTGATTAAAGGTGTGCACCACCTCATACATGTCCTGCACTGTTAAAATTAGTTAATTAACCAACAATTTGTCACAATCTAGAATTTTGTAGGGAGGGAGTCTCAAGGGAAATTTTCTAGATAAGAATGGCCTGTGGGTGTGGGTGTGGGGGGTCTTGATTACCAAGAAGACTACCCACTGTGTGTAGTATCATTCCCTGGACAGGGCAGGGGAGACTGGATGTAAAAGGCAAAGAAGAGAGCTGAGTACCCGCATGCATACACTCATTCACTGCTCTCTCCGATGTAGCTATGATGTCACTAGCTCCTTCAAGCTCCTGCTGCCAAAACCTCCCTAAAATGATGGACAGAAGCCTGGAACTGTGAGCCAAATAAGCCCTTTCTTCATTAAGTTGCTTTTGTTGGTTTTCCCGCTCCGCCGACCTGTCCTATACCAAGAGCCCTTATCCAGTGGCTGATGGAAGCAGAGACAGACATCCACAGATATACTCTGAACTTAACTCTGGAACTTAGTTGAAGATAGGGAGGAATGAATATCGAAGGGGTCTGTACCAGGTTGGAGAAACCCACAGAAACAGCGGGCCTGTACAAGGGGGAGCATATGGCCCCCAGATGCTGTCTGGGAGGCCAGTACAAGACTGATCCAGACCCCTGAACATGGATGTGAATGAGGAGGCCTCTGTACTCCAGGGGGCCCCTGGTAGTGGATTAGTATTTTTCCCTGATATAAGAAGGGACTTTGAGAGCCCATCCCATGTGAAGGGATACACTTTTGGCCTGGACACATGGGGAAGGGCCCAGGCCCAGCCCAGGATGATGTGGTGGACTTTGCGGAGCACCCGTTGAGGGCCCTACCCTGCCTGGGGAGGGGAGGGTGGATGGGGTGGGGGAATAGGTCCAGGGTGGGGGAGGAGGGATGGGGTGAGGGGAGGGAGAGGGAGAAGGGATCAACATGTGAAACAAGCTTGTTCCTAATTTGAACTAATAAAAAATTTTTTTAAAAGTTGCTTTTGTTGGGATATTTCTTTAAATCTTTGTTTTCTATTTTATTTTTATGTTGTATGGATGTTTAGGCTGCATGTCTGTCTATGTACCATATGCATTTGGTGCCCACATCAGCCAGAAAAAGGTGCTGAATCCCCTGGTACTAAAGTTATAAACTGTGACCCATTATGTAAATGCTGGGAATTTCAACTGGCATGCTCTAAAAGAACAGTCAGCGCTCTTAACCACTAAGCTGTCTCTCCAGACCCTCATAATATGTGTGTGTGTGTGTGTGTGTGTGTGTGTGTACGCATATATATATTTTTTTTTTTTAATTTAAAAACAAATGGAGAGGAATCAAGGAAGACACCTGACATCAGCTTGGGGCCTGCACAAATAAGTGCACACATGAACACACACACACACACACACACACACACACACACACACACGTAAAGTAATATGCAACCACACTGGGAACACCTACAGATTTGGACAGATATGTCTCAGACTAATGTGACAAGGGAACCATATGATTCAGGCTCCTATGTCCCACTTCCATAAGGAGTTAGACAGGAGATATATATCTATTCAGCCTCCAGCATGCTGAGATGAGAGACTGTGTAACTCCTCAGCTCTGTGGATGTGGTAAAAAGCAAACATGAAAAACATAGCTATACCGGTGTGCCAATAACGCTTTGGCTGCACAAGCCTATAGTTACAGACATTCATAAGGTGAAGAAAGGATGACTGAACGTTCAAGTCTGCCCTGGATCACAGAGTCAAACCTTTTCTCAAAATAAAAAAAAAAAAGGGATGGAGTGGAGAATGGTGGCACACTCATCACAGCACTCAAAAGGCCGAGGCAGAAGGATCTCTGTGAGTTAGAGGCAGCCTGATCTACATAGAGAGTTCAGGGCCAGCCAGGGCTACATAATGAGACCCGGTCTCAAAACACAGAAACAGGCTGGACGTGGCAACACACACCTTTAATTTCCATCACTCAGAAGGCAGAGGCAGGAAGATCTCTGTGTATGTGAAGCCAGCCAGGTATATAGAGTGAGTTCCAGGGCAGCCACGGTCATGTAGAGAGACCCTGTCTCAAAAACTAAATTAAACTAAAAGCAACCAAGGGATGGGGATAGAGAGATGGCTTGATTGTTGAGAAAGCTTGCTGCTCTTCCAGAGGACTAAAATTTGGTTCCCTGGACCCACACTGGATGACTCACAATCACCTATAACACCAGCTCCACAGATCTGATGCCTTCTTCAGGCCTCTGGAGGAAGCTGCTCACATACTGTGCATGCACACACATACATAAAAATAAATCTCTAAAACAAACAACCCTTAAAAGGGGAGCAGGGTGTGGCTGAGTGGTACAGTGCCTACACAGAATCTACCAGTGAAGGGCTGGGGGCATAGGTCAATAGTACAACCCAGACCTAGTATATAGGAGCCCCTGGACTCCATGCCAAACACAACAAAAGGAATCGGAGGAAGAAGAAACAAACAAACCAGCAGGTGCACTTGGCCTGAGGGTACCATTTGGCAACAACCATCCTAGCCCAAACTTTGAATGGGACAAAAAAAGTCAGAGATGGGCAGGAATGGGCTCCACTCACAGTGAGATTAATTCCTGCCTCCTTGCCTTCCACAGCAGAGCACTAAGGGGTGAAGGTCGACCCTGGGAGACTGAGGATGGGCAGGCAATGCCCAGGGGAAGGCCTCACCTTGGGCCTCATCCAGAGCTGCCTGGCTCTCCAACTGGCCAGCCTGTAGTGCACGGCGAATCTGCATGCGGATGATGTCAATCTTGGTCTTGCTATCCTGCAGCATCTGTTGGGCCGTCAACAGCAGCTTCCTGTCCTGGAGCCAGACGTGCAAGGTGACAGGAAAACTGGGAACTCAAGTCTGACCCCCAAACCCTGCTGCTATGCCATGAAGGCCTTGGGTAAGACAGAGCATTGATGTGTGCAAACAAGAACACCTGTGCCCAGTGTTCTAGCACAAGTGCAGTAAGACAAGTCCATAGGCTTCAATTCTAGCTCTGCCACCAACAGCTGAGCTTTGCAATCCCAACCATGTTCTCCCAGTCCTCTGGACCTCACCTCCCCCATCTGCAAAGCCTGGACCTCCACTGGACTGAGGACACCACAGCCCAGTTTGGACCAGCTGGAGCTACATCTTCCTCAGCTCTCAGATCATCTGTGTGCAGGTGTCTGCAGGGCCACAGACAAATGGTGGTATACTGGAGTAATAGAAGTTGCCTAGAGCAGGCCAGTCCAGGGACAGGAAGCAGACTAGTAGCTACTAATTGGGACACAGCCTCCTGTCACAGGGATGGAATGTTTCAGAACACGGTCCCACCTTGGTGCTGCCATTACTGTAGGTCTGGATCATGTTTTCTGCCCCCTGTTTGACCTTCAGCTCAATGGCCAGCTGTTTCTCCAGGCCAGCCACCCGACTCAAGTTGGTGGATGAGCAGACAGTGCTGCCCTCTCCAAGGGATTGGGAAGCATCTGAAGAAACACAGAGTGAAGAAAAGCACACAGTTGTCACTTCAGTATACCCAGGAGACTTTCCCCCAGCTGATAGGAAGCTCTCAGCCCAGCCTTGGTACATCCCAGAAAAGGAGCCTGGGGGTCAGTACACAGGCAGGAAACACATGGCCCTCAAAGCTAGAGTGGGCCCCCAGCTTGAAGGAAGGTGGGTTAGTGACCAGGTATGCAGGTCTTCAGGGCTAGCTGGAATAAATGCCCCCATCTACCTAAGGTGTGTAAGCCCCCTGGGGGTGGCAGGAGTGTAGTGCCCTAGATGTGGATGTAAAAGTAGTTAGGAGGTCTGTGTGAGCTTACAGTCATAGTTATGATCTCTAGAGGCTTCTGGGATTCTGTTTCAAGGCTCAGCTGTTGTCTGCACCTCAAGAGTGATACAGTGGGGTTGGGAGAACTCACTACAGAAGAGGCTTATAAGACTCTTGGCTGAACTCCACCAAGTGTTGATGGGATAGTATTGGACCTCAACAGTGGACACAGCCATATGTAGAGGGGCTGGAGCTGAGCCTGTTGGCTATATGGGAAGTCTGCTGTGGATGGGACAATGGTGGGGCACCTCTGGAGATGGCATGATAACCAGGTGGAAGAGCTCTGGGGTCATTGTGGGTTAGTGTGTCTCTCTAGGTGTAGGTGACAGGTTGCAAACCTTGGATGCTGTCATGACTATGCTACAGACTCTGAAATTAGAGTCATGTTTGCTGTGTTGCCTGGGTGGCATCACTGGCTGTGCACTTCTGAATTCTCTCGGTATCCTCTAGTGTTCCTGTGACCATAAACATCTTGACTACAAGATGAGGGAACTGTGGCCTTGTTTTGTCGCTGCATGAACACACATAACACTACTGAACTCTGGCAATGATAAATTATGATGTGGGTTTCCTTTTGTGTATTTACATATGTAAATACATGGAAGCCAGAGAGACAGCAGGTAAGTTCCTCAATTTTTCTCCACCTTTCTTCCTCCCTCCCTTTTTTGAGATATGGTCCCTCACTGAGCCTGGAGCTCTCTGATTTGACTGGTACGGCTGAGCAGTGCAGCCAGAGATCCTCCCGTCTCTACCTCCCCCAGGTGTGGAATACCACCACACCTGGCTTCTACTCGAGTCCTTGACTTCAAACGCAAGTCTTTATGTTTACATAGTAAATATTTTATTGCCTAAGTCAGCTCCTCAGCATGTAGGACTTTACTTTATCCACAATAAAAAAAAAATTAGTATTTACTATGGTTTTTTCAAGACAGGGTTTCTCTGTATAGCCCTGGCTGTCCTAGAACTCACTCTGTAAGTGAGTTCAAACTCACAGGATCTGCCGGTCTCTGCCTCACAAGCGCTGGAATCAAAAGCATGCATCACTGCTGCCAAGCCAAAAATTAATTTTTTTAAAAAAAATATAAAACTTTTAGCGGGGTGTTGGTGGTACATGCCTTTAATCCCAGCAATCAGGAAGCAGAGGCAGGCGGATCTCTGAGTTTGAGGCCAGCCTGGTCTACAGAGCAAGTTCCAGGACAACCTCCAAAGCAATACAGAGAAACCCTGTCTCGACACACACACACACACACACACACACACATCGCCTCACAGCTAGGTGATGGCACACACCTTTAATCCCAATACTTGAGAGGCAGAGGCAGGCAGTTCTCTGTGAGCTCAAGGCCAGCCTGGTCTACAGAGCGAGTTCCAGGACAACTAGGGATATACAGAGAAACCCCGTCTTGAGAAAAAAAAAAAAAATCTTTACTGGGTTTAGTGGTACAGGCTATATCAGGTGACTCATAATAACCAATAACCTATAACTCCAGTTTCAGGGGCTCTAGGGCCATCCTCTTCTCAGGCACCTGGCGTGACATACATAAAGACATCCAGGCATACACAATACACATAAATAAACATAAAAATGTTTTGTTTTGATTTTATCTTTTAGAGACACAGTTTCTCTGTGTAGCCCTGGCTGTCTTGGAACTCACTCTGTAGATCAGGCTGGCCTCTAACTCAGAGATCTACCTACCTACCTCTGTCTCCCAAATGCTGGGATTAAATGTGTGCACCACCACTGCCTGGCTATTTTTATTTATTCATATATGAGTATTTTTATCTAGAGTAGTTTCTCTTTTTTCTTTTTCTCACCTGGGTTGTAAGTGCTTTGTTTTTGTTTTTGAGGCAAAGTTTTACTAGGTAGCTCTGACTGGCCTTGACTCACAGAGATCCACCTGCCTCTGTCATATATACATATATTTTTGTATATATACATAAAGCAAAGAACAACTGAAAAATAGTCTATAACTGCTATTGTATTGGTATGATGTGGAGAGCTAAGAGAGTGACAAGTGTGCCATATTGGGCATTGATATGACTATGAGTTTCTGGGTTTTCATGTGACAGCATGTTACCCAGCTATTGTCTAGAAATAACTATAGCTGTGTCCTTAAGTAACTGGTGACAGTGTGTGGGTCTTTAGTGTTCGTTGGCATGTGCATCTAGGTATTCCTAATGCCAAAGACAGCTTTGGGTGGGATCTGGGAATAGGTGTGACCATGTGTTTCTCTAGGTGTTAGTGGCCATGCGAGTCTGGCATTTGCCATGGCTTTTGTTGACACAGGACAGTATCTTGATGGAGTAAAGCTCCAGAAAGTCAGTGGACCCTGCCTGCTCCCAAGCTTTCTGCTCACCACTCCCGGCTGCAGGGTCAGGAAGCACCACATGTGCATGCAGCTCCTGCAGCTGCTGGTGCAGCAAGTCAAGCCGTCGAGCAGAGCCCCGCAGCAGCAGCTCCACAGGGCCCAGGCTGCGGCCCAGGTCGGTGGTGGCTCGCCTCAGGTTCTCAGCGCCCTCCTTCAGCTTCAGCTCCTTGCGGATCTCCCGCCTGAGCCGCTCTCTTTCCAGCTCCAGCCGCTGCTGCACGCCGGGGGCCGCCAGGTCAGCCCCCGCCAGGCCCATCTGCTCCAGCAGCGACCAGCTGCGAGGCTCGCTCTGCAGGGGAAGACACCAGGCACAGAGGTCAGGGGCCAGAGGACAGGTGGCCTCACCAGGGCACAGTTCACCTGACCTACCACCCTACCCTACTGCACCCTAAAATTCCAAGGACAGGGGCTGCTCCTCCTCCCTGACCCACACAAATGGTAATATCTGGGCTAGAGAGATGGTTCAGGAGGTAAAAGCTCTTGCTGCCAAGCCTGGTAACCCTGAGTTCACCCCCTAGAGATCTACATGATGGAAAAAGAAAACCAACTCCTGAATGCTGTCCTCTGATCTCCACTACACTCACACACAGAAATAAATAAATAGGCGGCTGGAGAAATGGCTCTGTTAAAAGCACGTATTGCTCTTACAGAGACTCAATTCCGTTCAAGCCTCTAGTTCTGGATCTAGGGGGACTGGATTCCTCTGGCCTCTGCAGGCACTGATGTGCATGTGTACATAACCCTAAAGACACACATGCATAATAATAATATAAATAAATAATAAATAAATAAATAAATAAATAAGCCAGGTGGTGGTGGCGCACACCCTCAATCCCACCACTCGGGAGGCAGAGGCAGGAGCATCTCTGTGAGTTCCAGACCAGCCTGGTCTACAGGCGAGTTCCAGGAAAGCCTCCAAAGCTACAGAGAAACCCTGTCTCAAAAAACCAAAACTAAATAATAAATAAATAGAAGGTCAAAGAATAGGCCAAAAACAAGGCCTCCTTCCTCCCAGTTGCACTGACCAGGCTCGCCACAGGTGGGCCCTATCTCCCTTAATTTGTGACCTATGCAATGGGATTCTGGCAGGAAGACTCCAAAAGACCCCTTTTTTCTTCCAGTTTCCTGCACTCCTAACCAGGAGGTTCCAAGGGCAAGCTACATGTTTCTTTTGCCATACTCCAAAACCAGGAGAACCTTAGAAACATATCCTGACTTCTCTGATCTGCATTCCCAAACTGGGAGATCCCAAGGGCCAGCCCTGCCTTCCTGTCTTCTCTATCTGGTACTCCAAAGACGGCGCTCATCTCCTCCCACATCTCCCAAACCAGAGAGCTGATGTGGCACCCAAAAGTTAGAGAACTAACTTGTGCCCCATCTCCTTCCTACCCTTAGTCCCCAACTGAAAGGTACCCTCAGCTTCTGTCTCTAGGGGTCTCCTTCTGCCCATCCTATGGAGACCTAGCCCCTACCTCCAGATCCAGATGCAAAGGGGAATCAGCCGCCATCTGGGTCCTGGGTCTGGTCTGAGGGCCACGCCCTCTTCCTGAACCTCAGCCCTGCCAGGGCCTCTGGACTGCCACTTCCTCTTTCCTGCCAGCTCCCAGCATCCTCTGCGCCAGGGCAGCTCTAGGGCATGGGGTTTGTTGTTGTTGTTGTTGTAGTTTTATTGGGGGTTGTTTTGTTTTCTTTTTTTCTTTCTTTTTTTTTTGAAACAGGGTCTCTCTATGTAGCCCCGGCTGTCCTAGAATTGACTATGGAGACCAGGGTGGTCTGAAACTTACAGAGATCTGCCTGCCTTTGCCTCCTGGGTTCTGGGATTAAAGGCATGTGCCATGTAAGAGGTTCTTCCCACATCACCCCCTAAATGGCCATGCTTGCTTCTCTGGAGGCAAGCCAGGGACAGGTAGCCCTTAATTCCTGGCCTGAGAGAACACCCTGGATATACACACCCACAGTTGTATGTAGCAGACAGGATCTCATGTGGTACACAGCATATGTGTGAACCAAAGATAGGCTCATAGGTACGATCACATTTCCAGTTTTGCAGGTGTGAGATTTGCTCACAGGCTCACACATGCACACACATAAGCTCATATATATGTATACCCTTGTCATAGCTAGCTTCAGCTGTCAACTTGACAAACCTATGAAGAGGGAACCTCAACTGAGGGGTTGCCTCTGTCTGACTGGCCTGTGGGCATGCCTATGAGACATTTTCTTAATTGCTAACTGATGTAGGAGATCCCAGCCCTCTGTGGGCAGTGCCATCCCTGGCAGGTGGGCCTGGCCTGTGTAAGAAAGGAGCTGAGTAAGCCAGAGGAAGTGGGCCAGTAAGCAATACTCCTCTGTGGTTTTGTTTTAAGCTCCTGTCTTGATCTCCAGCCCTGACTTCACTCCATGGAGGACTATAATTTCTAAGACCAAATAAACCCACAGACAGGTGTAAGGGTAAGCGGACAGCCATGAGTGCTAGTTTGAGCCCTGCTCTTTCTCTGATTCCTCTCTCTCTCTCTCTCTCTCTCTCTCTCTCTCTCTCTCTCTCTCTGTCATTGCCCATGTCCCCACAGCAGCCCTGAGGCCCTCAGTCATGCTACTGCCTATTCATGTCTTGTCCCTTGTCCCCAACTTCCCCTTAAGAATCAGAACAGTCAGTGCTGTAGTAGAGTGTGTGTGTGTGTGTGTGTGTGTGTGTGTGTGTGTGTGTATTTGTGCAGCTTCCTGTAGACAGGCAGCATCAACTTCCTGTTTCTCCCTACCCAGATGTCCACCACGGCTGATCTCAGCTTGGGAGCCTAGGGGGCCCACCTGCCTTAACAGTAGCTCCCTGAAGTTCACTCCAGGAGAAGACAGCCCTGAGTGGCCCCAAATAGGAGACCACACTTGTTTGCCAAATATACACTAAATCTGAACTATCAGTGGTACAGTTAAAACGTATCAGGGACAAGGTATATATGAAAACATTCTATTTTCCATTGGATTTTACTGTGAACCTAAAACTGCTCTAAAACAAAAACATTTTTAAAAATAGTAGGAGTGTTGTTGGACAGATGGTTCAGCAGTTAAGTGCTCACACTGCTCTTCCAAAGGACCTGAGTTCAGGTCCTAGTAGCAGTGCCTGTAACTTCAGTTCCAGGTGGATCTGATGATGGCTCTGGCTTCTTCGGGTATATGTACATACCCCCCAATATACATCATTAAAAACAATAAAATCAATAAAAGTAGTAGTAACAGCAGTGGGTGAAGTTTGGTAGAATGTACAAGCTCCGAACCTCGTAAGTAACAACAACAGCAGCTACACAATCCATCCAAGTCTCAACTAATGTCATTCCATGTTACAGGTACTACCTGTTTTGTTTTGCTTCATAGTGTTCTGTGCTAGGTCTCATGTAACACAAGGTGGCTTTGCATTCAATGCACAGCAAAGGCTGGCCTTGAACTCCTGCCCCTCTTGCTTCCTCCTTGCTAGTTCTAGAATTGTGGCGTGCACCTTCACATCTGGCACAGCATGATGCAGATGCCTCAGATACATAGACAGAAATCAAACTATCTGCAAAATGAAGAAACTGAGGCCCAGCAAGGCTTTCTGCCACGTGCCTTTGATCCCTATACCCAGCAAGAGGGGCAGGAGGATGTCTGAGTTCCAAGACAACTGGTCTACACAGTGAGACCCTAACCAAAAAAAAGAAGAAAGGAAGAAACTACCTAAGGCCCCCTTGCCCTAAGATCCCACAGCCAGCAAGAGATAGGGCCAAGCTTCCTAACACTAACTGGGAGGGATCCATGTGCACCACACCTTACCACTGTGAGCAAAGTTCTCCTAGGCTCTTAAGCCCTCCTGGAGAGTAGATAAGATTGCAGGTCAAGAGCACAGATCTATGATCCTATCATCTCCTCTCTATATATCATCCCCCCCATGGTGACTACTATTCTGAATAGTAGTCACCATGGGGGGAAACTGGGACTCAAAAAGGCCGTAACAGTGGCTCTCAGTGAAGATGGGGTTGTTTTTTCATCATCTCTAGAAATACATGTCAATGTCTGGGGTCATTCTTGGTTGTCATTACAACCAAGGTACACAAGAGACACCTGTCAAGTGGAGGCCAGTGCTGTCCCTCCCTCTCTGTCTCCCCCCCCCCCCCCCCCCCCCCGCCACAAAACGATCCAGACCCAAATACCAGTGCTGGGGCCTTGGGAAGAGGCATGGGCTCCCGGATTGGACTACCAAGCACCATGTTCACAGGTAAAGACGTCACAGAGGCCCTTAGAGCACTGGCTGAGACTCCACCTCTCTTCTCATAACCATTCATAACCCCATTCCCTCCTCCAAAACAGGAACAAGACTCAGAAAAGTAATGGCTTTCACCCAGGAGTTCATCAGGGAAGACAGCACTGGATTTAAGCCCAGCCTCACCAAACAACACTCTGGCATGACTGGGCCCCACCCACGGTCCCTCACCATCACCCTCCCCCCACCATCAGGCAAAGCAGGTACACAGCCAGGAGCAGGGCCAGTTCAAATGGGGAGCATACAGGCAAAGAGGAAAAGTGAAGGCTCTCAGCCCCACCTCCAGTAGAGGAGGCCTGAGAATGTGTAACGCATGCAAGGAAGGCCTCCTGGGTCCTCCTCCCCTGGGTGATTCACTTGCCCAGGGCCAAGGAGTCACTTAAGGGCAGCAGGGCAAATGCTTGGCCTGGTCTTGAAGAATTAGAACATCAGCTTCTCCACCTGCCATCACAGACCTGGAGACACCAAACCAAGAACTCTCATCTTGGGAAACCTTCTTGGCAAAGTAGCTAGGGATCCAGAACCCCACATCCTGAGATTTCAATGCCTGGGGCGTTCCCAGAATCTAGACAGGACATCCGTTTGCCAGACACAGAACAGACAGGCATGGAGGTAGTGAGGCAGGGCAGCAAGTCCAAGCAGGAATGAACTTAAGGGAGAAGACAGAGAGGAGACGAGATGTTGGTCCAGACTCATTCTGGGAATCACAGCCTCCATATGTGCCCTGTGTGGGACACCCCAAGCACATGCACGCTCTGGGAAAGCCCTCCACAGCCCTCTGTGGGCTTGAAGGGGAGCCAGCACCCAGTGCATCACGCCTCTCCGGAGGTCTGACCTTGTGAGATCGGCAGCACCAGATACGCCCAGCTCCTCGGCAAGGCCGGCAGGCCATCAGCAGGACTGGGGAAGAGGGGTACAGGAGGGTGCAGGGGAGACACGGGGCAGGTGCAGAAGATGAAAACCAGTTACATAGGACAATGGACTTCATGGTGAAGAACTAATGGAGTCACAAAGATACCAAGATCTCA